GCTCACTTCTATTCATCAGCTCCTGGATTAGCTCCTGGACAGCCAATTAACGTCTGTCCTTATCCAAAACGTTTAGAATTTCAGGTGCCTCCCGCCGTTATCCACAGGGTGTAAACATGATGGAGATATGCAAATTACTCAGCGCATTATCACTTATTGCCCCATCAAGCGACAGTAAGTGTAATCTTTCAGTCATTCCAACTTATTTGCTTCCATATGGGCGGCACTGAGAGATGATGAGAGCCCGCCGAGCAAGTTCGTAAGTGACAATGCTGCGGCTGAGATAGATGACGCCGACAGAGGTAGGTGATGCTCATGACTCAGAGTCTCCAACTCGGAAAGAAGTGGATTGCTGGAAAATGAATAAATACAAGAGGGTAAAGTAGTTACAAACCTGCACACAGCAGATAGTATCATCTCATGTCAGGATACACAAAATTCGCCGTCGTTGGGGCCGGTTGTATCGGCAGCTACATCATTCAGCAGCTCCTCAAAGTCAAGGCTGCCGGGATCGTCAAGGAAGTCATCGTCCTTACTCGTCAGGTATAGTGTCTATCCAATAATTAAGCCGTACATGATGTACTGAGTACCATTGGCTGTGGACACAAAGGGCTCCAAGACCACGGTTCAAGGTGATGCCAAAGTGATCCAGGTCGATTATGACAATGATGCATCCATCAAGTACGCCCTGATCGGTGTGGATGTCGTCATCAGTACCGTTCCGATACCTTTCCTTGATGTTCAAGAGAAAATCGCTGCGGCCGCCAAGGAAGTTGACGTTAAATTGTTCGTTCCTTCGGAGTATGGGGGAGTATCGGAAGGAAAGACAAAGGGGGTACCCGGGGTAAAAGCAAATATTCAAGGCCATTTGAAAGCTTTGGGTATGCCGTACGCTGCTTTCTACACTGGCACGTGGTCCGATTTCGCCTGGGAGTCGTACGTCTCTTGAAATATCTCTTTTTTGTTTATTCTATCCAGCTGACGACACCTCCAAAGGATCTGTTACCTCGACGTCCGAAGTGGGAAAGTATCCGTTGGTGGCGACGGCAATAAACAGATTGCGTTCACCTGCAGAGTCGATGTTGCCCGATATATGTGCTATGTCCTGACACATCTTCCATCTGAACAATTGAAGAACCGTTCATTTGCCATGGCTGGAGACAATAAGGTGAGATCTTACTTGCCGCATCTGCGGTAGTGTCACGTAATAACAAACCTTTAAATAGTCGTTCAACGAAATATTCAAAGCGTATGAAGAAAGGACTGGGAAGAAACTGGAAGTCACTTACATTCCCATTTCCGAACTTGATGCAAGACTAGCTGCCAATCCGAAGGACTTTCCTGCTTACGTGCACAAGTTTTGGGTGACTGAGGGTCCATTCAAACGAACTGAGAACCACCTGTACCCTGACTGGAATCCGTCGCCCGTGATCGATCACTTACCCGTTGAGTAGAAGAGGCCAGACATATGGTTGCTTACGGAGGTGCACTAGGCTTTCGTCACGTAAGGGCTTTACTGGGATGGTCGTTTAGAGGAAGGGTTGCTCGGGCTTTTCTGATATATTGAGTCCCATTAACCCCAGTAGTGCAGTGCCTGTATATTACCGTCTATTCGTGCAGAAGAAAGGACATTACATCATGATATGGTGATAAATTTCCTGCGCGTGTCTCGTGCTCGAATCCCCAGCATCTCTCGTAGATGGAGACCGAAGAGATCTAGAAGCAAGGTTTTCCGAGTCATACAACTTTCCAATAGAGTCAAAATGAAGGTGGGTCAACACAACACCCCGAGTGACGCTTCTAGAAATGACTCGGAAAGAAGTTATACCTCACCATCGTGGAGACAGAAATATGGTAAATGTAGAACAATAAACGCGCGTAGTCACACGACAGACCCTCTTTTAGACATGAGTGTTGTCATCCCTGCTTCTGATTGGTGTAGCGCGGTAGGATTGCGCAAGTGAGTCCGAGAGGATAGAGATTTAGGAGAACTAGATATAGAAAGGGGTCGTTAGCACGCAAGCGATCAGGATCAACACACGCCGGCTCGGCTCTTAGTCGAAAGCTAGAGAGAGAGAGAGCCTCTTTCCCTGCAGAGTGTCCGGTAGCGTGGGTATGTACATGTTGCGGCTACCTAAGGTCCGGAAGAGGCGTTTGTGAGTGCGAATGAAAGTGGAAACGAAAAGGTATAAGCGGTGACAATGCGGTGATGTGCATCGAACACGCGGTCACTGGCATGTCATATGACGTGTGACACCATGAATGTACGATAAGGAGCTAGAAGCGCGTGGCACAGACAATACTAGGGATCCGCCACTCAGCGGGGGCAAGGCTCGCTTCGCCATGCAAGTCGGCGTGGGATAAATGTACGTATATTCGCACTGGATTTGGCCCAGTGTTGCACACTTTTCTCACGGGAAACAGCATATTGCGCTGGTTATGAATTGTACTAGCAGACCAGGATTCTAGGAAGGAAGGAAGGAGCCGGTGGGTTGGAGGGGAGATCGAGGGTACTAGGACCGTGACGTCCCGAAGTGGTCTGTACGAGCGCCGCGGCAGCCACGCGGTCCACCTTAAAATTTGGTTCCGGTTGGAAGTTTGGGTCTGGTTGGTCTTCTCGAGGGTCAAGGTGCCTTAGAAAGGACTCCTCAGTATTTCTATCTTCGCGACGGACGAACTTACAGGTATCAACACGACCGGGTGCACTATCAGTGTTAATCAACGTTAATTTCGCGGATCAGCTTTGTTCCGTAAGATGCAACGTGCCCGCCGAAAACGTGACAATGTGGCGGAGATAAATGACGACGGTGGATCAGATTCAGAAAGACGTAGATGGTCCTATTGATCCGACCACGACCCAGACTCGGACTTGGGAAAAAGAAGTTAAAAGGACAAATAGAGGATGACAAATAATCGATTGACCCCCAAACCTCACGCACAGTGGATACAGATCATGTCCGGATATACTAAATTCGCCATCGTTGGGGTAGGTAGAATCGGCAACTGCATCCTTCAGGAGCTCCTGAAAGAAAAGGATGTTGGGATCGTCAAGGAGGTCGCCGTTCTTACCCGACAGGTACGGTATCCTTCCCATGATCAGGTCGTACATGATATTCTGAGTACTTCATTGGCTGTTGAAACGAAGGGTTCAAACAAGACGATTCAAGGCGATGCCAAGGTGATCGAGGTCGACTATTCCAACGACGCATCCATCAAGCACGCCCTGACTGGTGTGGACGTCGTCATCAGCACTGTCCCGATAGCGGTCGTTCATGTTCAAGTGAAAATCGCAGCGGCAGCCAAGGACGCAGGTGTCCAGCTGTTCGTGCCTTCGGAGTTCGGAGGTAAATGGGAAGCACGGATTGAGGGAATGTTCGCGACCAAGGCGAATATCCGGGACAAGCTGAAAGCTTTAGACATCCCTATCGCCGCCTTCTACACTGGCCTGTGGGCGGACTGCCCTTGGGTGCCGTACGTCTCTTGATATACCTCTTGCTCTTCCTTTTCGTCTAGTTAACCATAACTTCCAAGCAACGTCAACCTCGATGTCACAGGTGGGAAAGTGTCCGTTGGTGGCGACGGCAACGAGCGGATTACGCTCACGTCAAGACCCGACGTTGCCCGATACGTATCCTATGTTTTGACACGCCTTCCTCCCGATCAACTGAAGAATCGTGAATTCTTCGTCGCTGGGGACAACAAGGTAACGTCGAACTTGGGGAATCCTTACCGTGGTTCGGTATTAGTATCTGACTATCGAAAACCCTTAGTCGTTCAACGAAATTTTCAAGGCGTATGAAGAAAAGTCCGGGAGGAAGCTTCAAGTCACTTACATTCCCGTTTCCGAACTTGATGCAAGACTAGCTGCCAATCCAAAGGACCTTGTTGCCTATCTGCACAAGTTTTGGGCAACCGCGGGACCATTTCATGAACCTGACGACGACCTGTATCCCGACTGGAATCCGTCGCCCATGATTGATAATATTCCCGTTGCGTAACCGAGTCCAGAGAAGAATTGGTCGGGGAGTTCTGATGTATAGAATTTAACCAGTACTGTACTGCAGCACCTGTCTATTAGATTCTGTGTGCGAAAATTAAAGACATTCAATTCACAACATTCCGGATATGAACTCCGAGTCGACACCCGAGGTTAGGGGTCTGCAGAACAATAGGTAAAGGATGTGCATCCCGCGGGTAGAAGCTCCGCCTTATCCAGATGACAGTCGTTGGACAAGGCTGCCAACATTTACGTTTGCAGGACTCGGACTGTTGTAAAAGATATTTCTTCGCGAGTCTGTGCTTTTTGTCCAATGTTTTCAGCAATTCATCTAGAGCGTGGTGAAAGACTGTTGGAAAAAAACGCTGACAGTTTCTAGCTGACAGAAGGCTCGTCGAAACCTAGGTTTTGAGTGAGCGAGCGAGCGTACAAAGACCCGCGGGAAATCACCCACATTCCATCCGCCTTCGATAGAAGGGTTTATAGGGTATCGATGTCCTCTGGCCTCCATTTCTGCATCCTCCGGTCAGAGCGGATGACAGTATTGATGTAATCAAGGATGTCTTGCTTTGTCTGCTTTCATAGTGAGGGCACTGAATGACACTGAGACGTGTACACAGAGTATGACATCAAATTTATTATGTACGTACGGTGACTGGTCCCAGAATTGCGGTCCGGAGACGCCTTTGGGCCCGTACAGCAACTCCGGTTTCAAAACCGGAGCCTGCCAAATTGCAAGGTCCAGTTTCGAAATCGCCCGGTTTGCCGAAATTGAACTTTGGCCAGGTTTCGAAATTGGAGAGGCTGTTCCGTAACTAGGGGAGCTCACACCTACGCTTATGGGCCGCTTATCACTTTTTTCGCTTGTTACGCTTATGGGATTCACGTGACCAGTTCCCGCAAGATATTTTCGTTTGTATTTTAGATAAACCTTGGCAAACGCTATTTAAAACAAATTGGGTGAATCCGGACAACTCCGGATGACAATATCGAAACAGAAAAGTGACCGTAATGTGATTTGAACCCAGGCCCCCAAATATATGCCAAGTACCTTAACCAAGTGCTTTAACCATTGAGCTACGTGGCCGTGGGTTCGACCAACCGCGATTGCACTTATATTCTGATGCCTCAACCTAGGGTATCCAGACAATTCTCGTCGCCTGTCAAGCAAACCCACCCATTTCACAGGGTTGATTATTTAATACAGGTATTTCATTAGCCCATACTGAATATCAGACCAGACGATGCTGACGGTGTTTGCCGAATTCTTTTATTTAAATAGCATATGCCAAGGTTTATCTAAATACAAACGAAAATATCTTGCATGAAATGGTCACGTGAATCTCATAAGCGGACAAGCGAAAAAAGCGATAAGCGGCCCATAAGCGTAGGTGTGAGCTCCCCTACTGCCCGGTTTCGAAACCGGCACTTGTCACGTCTGTCGCGGTCATTCTGCCCTGTTTTCACTCTCGTGTCGCGTTGTGTTGAATTGCGTCTCCCTTCCACTCTTTCCTTCTTTTTATTATTATCATCAACGACATCAAGCACATAGATTTGTGTAGTTTTAAACAACTTCATGGAGGCAGAATTGAAAATTTTAATGATTGAGGTGACTTACTAGACACGAAATTGGAAATGTTCGTCAGCCAGATAGCCCATATTGATGCGTTAGAATATAGGTATGCATGAGGTCAGTCTGACCCAACCCTGAGTGGCTCAGTGGTTAGAGCGTAGGGATGCACACCGTGTCCGTACCTCACGGTCCGGACGGTTCCGTACTACGGAGGCCGTTTCCGTGCCGTTCCCACATCGCTTCATTCCATTGGACGGACGGAGGACGGAACGGTCTTGGCCCGTTCCGTCATGTGACTATGCTTCTGTCACGGCCGTTAGACGGGCATCTCCGAACTTTCTCGTGGAAATTTCAGATTCGCCTCAAAGTCCCAAATATGATAATATCGATTCCCCTCTGTCCAAGGTTCCCGCCCGCCTTCTTTAATCCCTCAAGCCCTCAAGACTGCCTTCACACCATTCACAGACTATCCGTCCTCAACACCGGCTTCCTTGCAGCCTCCACACGCTGTACCCGGAGCATTTGTTGTCAACGCCACTTCCTTATAGCCTCAAGAGTCTTTTTACGCCGTTCACGGACTGTTTTGTCGTCGATACCGGTTTCCTTGCAGCCTCAAGAGTCAAGAATGTCTTTCAACCTCAAGATCAGCAAGGTTCTTATCAAGCGGACGGATTTTGAACTTGACAGGTGATCAATGCAAGGAGTACACCCTTTTTCGAGGGTTGACTCTGATGGTTGCAGCACTTAGGATAAGCACAGATCACTCTCCAACGGCACCACCCCATCCCCCCAGCAAATGATCCCTCCTTGGTATACCTTACCCTGCCGTCCATCTAGTGCAGGACCTTCCCTCCAACGATGCTCGAACAACGCTTTCCCGGGAACACAGTTGGGTGTGTCTTTTGTGTGCTTCATATTGTTATCTCCTGTGTCAACTTATTCATGTTCACCTGCACCCTCCGACTTCCCCTGCCTTTGCATGTATCGCATCCGCATGCTCAGTCACAGTCACATCGCGTATTGGAGACTCGGCGCCCCTTGGCGTGTCGGCGTTTGTCCGGGAGGGCCAACAATGCACGCTGAGCCTCGCAGTGCAACACATCCAGCCGCCTACCCCACTACGAAATGGTGCCATCATCCGCGACAGCGACTACGACAGTGACAGCAGCGAAGTCTCCCCTTGCATCGTGGCCATGGCCATGGCATCATCCCCTACAACGTGATCATTGTTGATGCTACTCAATGGGCCACCAATCGGATCGCCGTGCACGGCGACGAGGGGCGTTTTGACAAGCCACTTGCGTCGCACGTCACGCGTGGACCCTCACCCTCTCTTGGAGCCACTTGAGCCACCCACGTGCGGCCAGTTTCCGCGCCTCTATCAGCTGGCGTGCGACCTTTTATGCATTCCTGGTAAGTTTTTGTTTTGGCAATATTAATTCATGCAAGTCTGACACGCTAGACTCCAACCCGACACAATTCGCAACCTGACACAATTCGAACACTCATGTTCGTCAAGAAGCGTCTCCATCTCAAGAATGCCAGGGTCAAAGCTGCTCAGGCTGCCAGGCCGCTCAGGCGTTAGACTGTGCGCCATGCGACCACACTCACCACCACCACCACTGAATTTTGGTATTATCTTGCAGTCACACTCGTGCGGTACGCCCACCCTCACTACCACCACCTCCGACTCGTCGCGCAGCGCACCCACCCTCACTACCACCACCTCCGAGTCTTGCACGCTCGCGCAGCGCACCCACCCTCACTAACCCCACCACCGAATCTTGCAGTCACGCTCGCCACTTGGACTTTCACCTTATTTTTTGTTAGTTACTAGTACACTACAGTAATACTTGACTACTGAATACATGAATCAGCAGTGTGAACGTGTGATTCATATGTGTGATACACCCATCAGGAAAAGATCCATCTGCTTGAAAATGGCTTAAAAGTCCTTAAAATGGCTTTTTAGTGTTCCAAGAGCTCTCAAGCTAAATAAGCCCATATTTTTTTGTTTTTTGTTTTAAGCATAACTCAGTCAATTCTTGTCCAATTTGCATGCTTGAGGGCTCATTGGAATCGCATTAAAAAGGGCTACGTCATGAATACATAGAATTTGCAATATTACCACATTTCACCATTTCAAGCTAAATTAAGAGGAAAAAAGCAAATGGATCTTTTGCTGATGCCGTCTACCGTTGACTACCGTCATACGTCCGTCTTCAGGCCCGCTCCGTCTCCGTTAAGGGTCCCTCTGACAGAGGTGGACGGACGGTGGACGGGGGTCCCGTTTCCGTCAAACGACCGTCCAACACTACGGACGTACCCGTAGTACGGTACGGTGTGCATCCCTATTAGAGCGCATGGCATATGTTTTGGAGCAGTGGGGGGGACCTGGGTTCAATCCCTGCCATCGTCATTTTTGTTTCAATGGGGAATGGATGTGACACAGTGTGACCCTAGTGCCACCGCCTATTTCGCATTCCCAGTTTCGAAATCGCCCGATTTCAAAAACGGGCGGTTTTGAAACCGGAGTTGCTGTACGGGGCCTTTGGCATGAAACACCAACGCGTTGCCGATTCGGTGTCTGACTCGAAGCTGCACATTAGGCCCCGTACAGCAACTCCGGTTTTTGAAATCGGGCGATTTCGAAACTGGGAACGCGAAATAGGCGGTGGCACTAGGGTCACACTGTGTCACATCCATTCCCCAGTGAAACAAAAATGACGATGGCCGGGATTGAACCCAGGTCCCCCCACTGCTCCAAAATATATGCCATACGCTCTAACCACTGAGCCACTCAGCGTTGGATCAGACTGACCTCATGCATACTTATATTCTAACGCATCAATATGGGCTATCTGGCTCAAATTTCGTGTCTAGTAAGTCACCTCACTCATTGAAATTTTCAATTCTGCCTCCATGAAGTTGTTTAAAACTAATCAAATCTATGGGTTTGATGTCATTGATAATAAAAGAAAGGAAAGAGTGGAAGGGAGACGCAATTCAACACAACGCGGCACGAGAGTGAAAACCGGGCAGAATGACCGCGACAGACGTGACAAGTGCCGGTTTCGAAACCGGGCAGTTACGGAACAGCCTCTCCAATTTCGAAACCTGGCCATAGTTCAATTTCGGCAAACCGGGCAATTTCGAAACTGGACCTTGCAATTGGCAGGCTCCGGTTTTGAAACCGGAGTTGCTGTACGGGCCCTTACTTATACTGTAATCATGAAGGTTCTCGACTATCGCAATTTTATTACCCATAACAATAGTCAAACTCATTCTGGGGATATGAAGGACACATTCTTTGTTTGACTACTATTGCTATGGGTAATAAAATTGTGTCATAGAGTGAAGTTAGCAAACTTCAAACTGACAACCAACTGTATCCTGACTGGACTCGGAGTAGTCGGCCGAGGTGATGTCCTTCTTGTAATGTTTCGATTTCTTCCTTCCCTTCCGGTCCAGCTTCGCCATTTGATCCCTATTTCAACGTTCCAGTCCCGGCCGCCTGCGCTTTTTGCTCTCGACTAGATTCATTCATTACCCTCTCGATCCAGCCCAGGGCCTTACTCCGCCATCTATCGAGCATCATTCGATTTCGAAAACTGCGCGTTAGCAGCGCGTACACAACTTTGTACACAACTTAGGACATCGTAGAGCTTGGTTCATGGAGTCGTCGCCCAGTCACCAACTGCATCGACAATCCGGATGATTCCACGTTGCTGTCCCACTGATTTGTCTGAGGTGGTTTATCCACTACTTAGCACTGGACACTGGCTTTATCCCACCGGTTTGTATCAGCGATTTTGCAATTAACAGACTTATATTATAGGAGATGCCGAGCGCATAAGGTGATTAAAAGCTTTCATTACTCATCTAGACAGCCCTTACAGGCTTCTTCGCCGCGTGGGAGCATGTCAGGCCACTTCCTCCACACAGCTGGATCCGGAAAACCACATTATAAGCGCTGCATAGCCTTCGAGTTGCCAAGGACTTGCTGGCGACGTTCACAAGAGCGGGAGAGTGAAGAGGACGCAACACGGAAAGTGAAGCTGGGGAGAGGGTCGTTGCCAGCGGTGTACGGGTCCCCGACAAATATATGAGGGTTTCGGAAACCTGTCCCAGCCTCACGAGTTGAGACGAGTCGCGGCACCCATGGACATGGAGTGAACGCGAAGCAATTCTCGCCCAATTACTGCAAAGGGGCGTTGAGTTAGCGTTTATTCACTTTCGTGATGTATAGCGTACTTACATTCTTCCAAAGAAAGGATGCTTCTTAATTTCCATGATATCGGACAGACGGGAATCACGATCCTTTCTCAGGAGCTGGGGAATAGCGTCAAAACCAATTCGAATGGTGAAGTTTAAAAGACTTACTTGGCTCACAAGATCAGCTGCGTCTTCCGTCATCAATGGGCTTTTGACGATCTTAACAATGACAGGTTCGTCGTATTTGATATGTTCAGACGAGTCACGGGACCAGGTAGAACCATGAGGCGGAACAGTAT